AATTGTTCTAGTTGTAATTAAAATTCTCAAACTTATTGTAGAATTAATATTCCAAACTTTGTTTGATGCCTTCTTATTTTCAACATTCCATTAACTAGTATATCTCATTCCTAATAACATTTTTAGTTCAAAAGATTCGTTGAGAAGGCGTAAAGTGACTTCATGCACAAGATATATTTAAAAAATAAAAAAATACAAAGTACAATAAAAATATTTTCTCTCATTTTAAACATACTAAGAGGAAATATTTTTATCATCACGTATGAGATGTACTAATTAATAGAATGTTGAAAAATTGAGGACCTTAATTGAAATTAAAATGTGGTGTACCTAAAATATGGATATATTCAACTTTTGTTTATTTAAAATTAGGGACAAGATTGCCTTTTATAACCATACGTTTTTAACACAAATCATGAAAAAGGTGTGGGGGTGTGCTATTTTTGAAAGATTGGGGTTACATGTTGCCATAAATCAAAAACTTATGAGTTGGATGCTTCAATATTCACCCAACTTATACCATGACCATTGTTTACTCATTAAACGTGTCCACGAAAATCTCATGTGGCAAGTTATGATTATTAAAAAAAAATTAAAACCTAGCTAAACCATAACTCACTAGAATCACCATATGTGAAACGCAACTTCCAAGGCCCCATAAACTTCTATAAGCACCAGTGAAGCATCCTCAATTTCAGAATTGAAAAATCCTATCCCTCAATTCGCTCATCTCACCCACTAGTGATGGACATGCTTACATTTAGTTCTGATTCCAAAAGAATCGAGCCGAATCATGAACCAACAATTTTTTCTATAATGGAACTAATGATTTTTTTTTTTTTTAAGATATGAAACCAAACTGGAATCGAACCATTCGGTTATGCTTCCAGTACTTAAATTTTCATACTCGCCAAATAAAATCATATCCATATGTTAGTAACATATAACTAAATAAAAAAAATAAACATCATAATTCAGGAAGTTCGAATTATCAATCATAAAGATCACAAAAATCTAAACTAACAAACAAAATAGAATCATAATCTGAATACACAAATCAATTTCCATCCCATACAAAAGATTATGTAATAAAAATGATTCATTAATGTAGAAGAATGAGTCATTGACAAAAGTTAATAATATCAAGTTCCATCTTTATGCTCCACCCAATTAATTCCTTTAGATTAAGCCATCAAACATTCATGAGAAAACTGAAATAATAAACTGAAATATAAAGTTGAAATTGAAAGTAATACTAGGGGTGGTGACAAAATGACCAAGCCAAACAACTTAGCACTTACCTTCCAGGCAATTATTAATCATTTAACACTCCCATTGCCTGTGCTGTAACTTTGAGAAACTCTACAAAAATAATTTAAAAGACAGTTAAAATAAATAAAAATAAACTAAAATCGTTTACAATTAATAAGATGTAAGGTGAAAATATTTTATAAAATTTTTATTACCTTACTCAATTTCTTCATAGAACATCGTCTCCTCAATGCAAATCTGAAAATATAAGTAATGGAAAGAACCAAACCAAACCAGAACCGAATGGTTCAAGTCCAAATTGGTTCCATATCTTAAACAAGAACCATTGTGTAACCCCCCGAAAATTTTTGAATATAAACTTAAGCGTTCTATTATATTTTATTATTTTAAAGTTGAGGGACTAAAGTGAAATATATTTTAAATTCTTATGTTTTTGGGTTGAATATTTAGATTTTGACAAAGTGATGATAAGTATATCAATATGGTACTCGTTGAATAGCTCGTATTTAATAAGGTATTTCAGGCTCAATAAAAAGTTTATTCGGAGAGAGAAAATAATTTCAAAAAGTCAGTCATGATTTTATTGACATGGTCGAGATAGTAGAAAAGATATTGGAATTCTTTTAATTATTAGACGAGGTAAGATACTGTATGTGCAAGTGATTTCGTTTCATTATGCTTTTATATTCAATTAAACATGCATGGATTGCCAATGGACCTCCAGAATCTATAAAAAGAGAGATGAAATCCTATGGGATTATAAGAGAACCTAAGATGGGTGTGTCGCTTGGTCACCGATATACTCCATAAGATCAGTTTTTATTGTTTTATATTTGTATATGGAAATTGCACGTATTTTGCTAGGTGTTTTTTGAATATTCACTCTTATAAATCTTTACAGGTTATTTCGGGATGGTCGGAACTGTGGCGAATTGCTGATACGGACGGCCAAGGAAATCCAAGGAAAAGGAAAATAAACAATTAGTTTGATATCTCCAATTTTATTTGTTAGCTTTAATTGTTCAAAAGACCCACTTGTTTAATTAGTTATTTATTTATGTTTAGATTTTTAGAAACTCCGATCTCGTGTTTTAAATTGACGTTTTGGTTGAAATTTGTGTCGTTCTGCATTTACAAAAAGGAAAAATTGAAATTTTCATAACACCCCGTGTCTAAAAAAATTGTGGGGGCGTACAATTTGGTATCAAAGCACAGTTCTACTTTCCTATAGACATTTTCCTATAAAGAAAAAAAGAATAATAATAAATTCGGCATATGAACAAAAAAATTTTAAAAAATCATGAACAGTAACTACACCATTCACAGTATCGAATGGTATGCGACACTGTTCACACGAATAGTGTGCACACTGCTAAAAAAAGGGATTTTTTTAAAAATAAAATTTCTACCCTTTTTTCTTGTGTTTGAAGGTTAAATGTTCGTATTAAATTGATTTTGAATGGTTATTTTACATTTTTTTTGAAACTTTTATTTAACGACATTCTATTTTAACGGATTTTGTAATAAATTAAATCAAAGTATTTTTGTAGGGACTATGAGTTTAAGGATATTGTTTTTGTAAAAATTTTAATTGTGTAATGTGTAAAGAATTCTTGGCACATGACGCTCACCAATTGACCACTCTTCAATTAATGCAAGGAATGGTGTGAAATGTCATTCTTTTAGTATGATTATGAGTTATTTATTTATTTATTTTTTATTTTATGACAGGGGAACCCCCAACCACTATCCTTCAGGTATGTACTGGGTAAATTCTTGGGCTGACACAATCGCTTGCAAACCACGGCAGCCAAGTAATTTGCACTAAGCAAGTCCTATGCGACAGACTCGACCCAGAAAGTGTTGGTAGGGACAATCGAATTGGTGACCAAAGGCCTCCACATTCATCTACTTCACCAACTCGGCCACCCCACGTGGGGCGATTATGAGTTTTCTTACTTTATGTTATGTACTATCATGAGTATGTCAAAGTCAAGTATCCAAAACTTTTCAACTAAGTTAATTTCGAGGACGAAATTTTTTGAGGGGAGATTGTAGCATCCTAAAAATTTTAGAATATAAACTTATGTATTCTATATATTATATTTTACTATTTTGAAAGTTGAGGGACTAAAGTGAAATATGTTTTAAATTCTTATGTTTTTGGGTCGAATATTTAGATTTTGATAGGGTAATGATTAGTATATCAATATGGTACTCGTTGAATAGCTCGTATTTAATCACGTATTTTAGGCTTGAGAAAAAAGTTAATTTAGATAAGTAGGACCCGAGATATTGAAGTTTTAAAAAAATTGTCAATTATTATATTTAATTTAGTTTATTGTTAATATTGATGGTCACGTGTAGATACGTAGAGATCATACTATTAGTGGTTGTTAGGAATCTATTTTTGGTGAGATAAGTATTTATTATATATTTTTTATCAATTCAAATACATGTGCCATATTATGATTTGTTTTACCAAAATTTAATTCCTATCCAATTTTGGTATACATTTTCTCCCATCACAATTGTACTATGACTCAACTGCTATTTTTTTACTATAAATAGTGTACAATTGTACCATAACTTTCCACCAACAAATTTTACACGACAGATAGTAGAGAGAGACAATAATTTCGAAAAGTCAGTCATGATTTTAGTGACATGGTCGAGAAAGTAGAAAAGATATTGGAATTATTTTAATTATTAGACGAGGTAAGATACTTTATGTGTAAATGTTTTCATTTCCTCATGCTTTTATATTCAATTAAATATGTATGAATTGCCAGTGGACCTTCGGGTTCTATAAAAGGAGAGATGAAATCCTACAGGATCTTAACCTAGGATGGGTGTGTCGCTTGGTTACCGATATACTTTATAAAGAGCAAAGTGGTATGAAATGTAGATTTTATTTGGTATATAATTATGTATGGATACTGCACGTATTTTATTGGGTGTTTTTCAAATACTCGCTCTTGACTTGTCTAATTAAAAGTTGAAACTATTAAAAATAGTTTTGCTTTTGCATTTCGAACACGTGAAAATTTGTATATTTGACTAATTGTGGAAATTATTACGTAAATATAGAATATTATAATTTTAAATTTTGATATGTATTTTTTTCGTTATTAAGCCAATGTCAATATGTATGAATTGCCAGTGGACCTTCGGGTTCTATAAAAGGAGAGATGAAATCCTACAGGATCTTAACCTAGGATGGGTGTGTCGCTTGGTTACCGATATACTTTATAAAGAGCAAAGTGGTATGAAATGTAGATTTTATTTGGTATATAATTATGTATGGATACTGCACGTATTTTATTGGGTGTTTTTCAAATACTCGCTCTTGACTTGTCTAATTAAAAGTTGAAACTATTAAAAATAGTTTTGCTTTTGCATTTCGAACACGTGAAAATTTGTATATTTGACTAATTGTGGAAATTATTACGTAAATATAGAATATTATAATTTTAAATTTTGATATGTATTTTTTTTGTTACCCCCCCCCCCCCCCCCCCCCCCCCCAAAAAAAAAAGGGGGCTACCAAACAGGGTTAAATGATTTTTTGACAAAGATTGAATATTTAAAATAATAATTAAAAGCGTATACCCTGTCCACCTATAACCAGAATTAATGCTTTTTTGGAACACTTACCGTGATCCTTATATAACAGTATATGACTATTATTGCTGAAATTTATGTTTCCTGGTCAAACTCTAATGTTTTGTTACCCATTTATTACAAAACATCCCCCCACCATCCAGATGTTAATGTAATAAATTATTAGTTTGAGGGTAGTTTAGTTTTTTACATTTCGTTTTCCTTGGTATTGTTGTATATAAACTCATTGTACCCTACATATTTTGCCCTAAGTTTGGAGGCTCCTCCATTCTTCACAATTGTGCGTTCCCCTCCTTCGATAGATTTATAAAATTAGTTCTTCACCAGTTTGTTCTCCTCTTTGGATAGAGTTATCATATTGGTTTGTTGTTTTCTACACCAGAAAGGTACACTTTGTCACAACTTTCGCCGGGACACAAGGTTGGTAATTTTTGCACATATTTGGTTTCATGCTTCCTGGTTATTAGTGATGGAAATGATATTTTTTTATTATTTTTTCTTTTTGTCAATGTGATTATGAATTGATATGGTTAAGGCTCGTAGTACATGAAATTGCTATAATTGTTGATGTGGTGAGATTCTAGTACCTGAATTTTGATGCTAATTTTTAATTTGGCACTAATAATCTTATAAAATCCACATCTAGATGGAAGGAAAGGTTCGTGGTTGAGAGTTTTCTGTCATTAGGCATCTATATATAAGTAAAATTTTCTAGGTCCCTTAGGGATAGTTGGTAGCCATAATTCTGTGGATTTGAGGCATAGTCAACCAGATGGAATCTGAACATATATATAGATGTTGTATAATGCTGTATTTATTATGTAGAGATTTGAGAATTGACCTCCAAATTTCATCCTAAAATATCCAGATTATGATTTAAAATCATGCAGAAATAGAATTCAGGTCTGATTCTACAACCAAGCGCACTGAAGAAACCAAAATAATTAAACACATTACAGTAGGCTGGTATGTGTGCTTGAAGCCCTTCCATCATCAGGTGGTTGGCGAACATGCGCGCACTATTGATCTGTAAATATCGGGGCCTGGTACATATGTGCACGCCACTCCTTCGGACTGTTCTTTGTAACTATCTTCTCTTAACGTCCACTTCTGGTCCCATGCCAAATGTCTTCTATCTCTTCATTTGTCCTCGAAAACAGGGCCCTGCACCAAGATTCAACCTACAAAGATAAATCTGAGCTGATTCGAGTTAAATAGCCTACAAAATGATAAGATCTAAGGCTCAAATAAGTGTAAAATTTACACGTATGAATTATCCATATGGTTAAATAAATAAAAGCCAAGACAAAATATTATGTGGTTGTCAACGAAAGAATTTTTATGATGTTGCACTCAACTGGCTGAGTCGGATAATTTATTTGATTGAGGAATTTTATCACCCAAGAGTGCAAAAATCTTCACTTAACTACTTACAATAGAGGAGTCGTTTCTTTATTCTTCAAAATTATTTGCAATATTAACAATGGATATGTAAAATATGACAGAAGATAGTCTTGTCTCTTCTTCTGACATTTATGATAATAACTAGATCTTTTGTTTGATCTTTGAATAGTTTTGTAGAATAATTCAAAGCTCTCTGCCTTTACATGGTCTTGGTTCTTAAACGGATTCTCATAATGGCTTATTACCACCAATAATGAGACCATAACGTATTCTTAGCTGATGTTTGTGTTATTTATTGGCAGCATGGTGAGACTCATTCACATTGGTTTCTGCATTGTTACATTCTAGAGAGAGTTTACGAGAATGTTTTGTGGAATATCATGAAAATAAGGGCAGCTTAATTGTCCATATTAGTTGCTTATATAATTATGTTGATTGTTTTTTTCCTTGTTCAGTACTGATTGTTATTAGATGCAAAATTAACTTGTCGAAAACCTTCTTTTTGTAGCCCTAGCTTTGGTGTATATATCGAAGATAACATAAGAATCATAAATATTTTCTAAAATATCCAGTAGCGAAGTACTTTTTCTTTGATAATATCATACATTACCAGTTGACCTACTAGTCATATGATCTGCTGTTTTCAGCTCATTCTGAAGTCCATCAACTGATGAGCCAGTACCAATTAGGCCAAGTAACTGCATGTCCTATTTTTCTTTTAATCAGAATTTATGTATTTTATTACATGCATAGATGTCAAATGAGCTGGTCCAAGACGTCCTACATTACAGATGTGCGGTGTCTGTCTTTTAACTTTTCCTTGTTACTTTCCGAGAAGAGGTAAAGAAAAAGCCGAAATTGGTCTTCACGAACTCCAGACTCAAGACAACCCACCCACAATGCACTCACCTTCTTGTTTCTATCTTTGATTATTCCTTGCAAAGTTTTCTTCGAGTTTTATATTGAGATTTGAGAAGGATCTTAGTGTAAATGTGAACTCTTCTTGCTACTTGCACGCATTTCTCTTTCAGAATCCAACCGACCAATAATGCCACCCCAACCAGCCTTTCTTCCATGTCTACGGCTTGGGCACCCTTCCCTTACAGGTCGTTTTTCGGGGTATATTTTAGTCAAAGTGATTGTTACGATCACCTCTCCAGCAGCCCCCAGCCATCAACCTGTCCAATGTCCATCCCAAGAAGGCACCACCCACAACCTAAGCACTTTATCACCACTGCAGATCTTGTCTAAAAAGCACATATGAATGTGGATTTATAAGTCTAAAAAGCACCATTGGTATAAATAGAGTTACATTTCCCGTTTTAAAATACGGAAACAAATTCAACAATCTGCGGTAGCAGATGCCCTGGATGTCCTTTTCTGTTTTTTCACTGAAAATTGGACAATTTGGCAGCATGTTATGTGTGATTTGAGGTGAAAGGAATCGAATTGTCTATGGCTTGTAGTGGGGGCCTGACTACGGACTAGATAGGCAATCGTCTAAAACACTGTTTTTGTGAGAGCCCAAAAAAATATTACATATAGTTCATAAAAAATTACAGAAAAAATAAAGTCCAAATGCAACCAACCAAACCAATTTAGCTGTATAATTAACAAACATATTAATCTTTAATTAAAATATAAACCAATTTTACACAAAATATCATTTTTCATATTGGCCCACTTGAATTCGTCCTTTCCTCTTTGTTAACCATAAAAAAATTGTACATCTAATTTTTTCCTTTGCAACAAAGTTACTTCTTTTTTCACTCTTTTCCTTCTTGTTTGTGTACAATAAATAATGTGGTTAATGACACGTCACCTTCGTGTGGATTAATGATAAAATAATTTGGACATTATTAAACTACCTCACATTTTTATTTTGATTCAATAGTGGCAATCCGGGTCACATGATTGATTTTATAGTGGATTTTTATTTATTGTATTTATGTCCTGATGGTTTTATGGCTAATGCTAATGAACGTTTAGAGTTATGATGAGTAAATGCTGAAATGTGAGTAAACAGGGGTGTGAAAAGGTGTTATTATACTGCAAGAAAGGGATGATTCTAGATAGAGGATTCACTTGCAATTGAAGCTAAAATATGAGAGACGCTTAAAATTTTTGTCTGTTAGTAGAAGTTTTTAAAGAATCTCATACCTATGGACACAAGAGTACCGTCTTATAACACATGATATTCTAGAAATTGTGCTCCTATCAATTTTTGCAGATGAAAAAAAAAATGTATAAATTGTGCTCATGCATATTTTCTAGGCATCTATTTAGCCTATTTTTTGGCTCATGTTTATGAATAAATGCTCAATCTACTTTTTATCCAAATACCACCACCCGTTTTTGTATATTTATAATTCAAGTTGTTTATAAACACTTCCCAAGTGTTTTCTAATGCTCAATTTGAATGTATCTAAAATTGCTTCTGGTAAGGGATTGCAAGACTTGTTTTGCTTGTCTGATCTAGATTATATTTCCCATTGAAAGAGAAAGTGTTTACCTCATTTTCAATTGCCTACATTTATCATCTAACATAATTATTAAATTGTAATTACCTAATAGTTTTGTGGCCATTGATTTCAATTATATTATGAACAAATGGTTTAAATGATCAACTTGATTGAAATTAAGATTTATGATGGATTTTTAGTCACTTTTGTAGTTGACAAGTGGTTTGTCGATTTTGGACACAAAAGAAACTGATTTTATTAACAAAAAAAAAAAAAATTGCTTTTACAATTTAACCACACACCTCTCACAATTCTTATTAAAGGAAGCACTAAAGTTACTTCCACTCTCTATCCACACTCTCTCTCTCTCTCTCTCAAAGCACTCATATATGATGCTTCTCGCTGTGTCTTTCTTTCACCACACATGCATACAGCCTGTATTTTTGTTTTTCTCTCTTTCACACTTCTTAATTCACTCTATGACTCAAAATAAAGTGCTAGAACATATTTAGTAGTGTATGTTGGTGCCTTACAATTCTAGAAACTTTTTAGATTGTTTCATATATGACAATGGGCTACCTTTCAAATATTTCTCAGATTCTTCTAGGAATGCTTAAGGATTAAGGAATTTGTTTAGCAAGGAATCATCATCAATTTTTCTAGAGAATTGTTGGAGCTTCCTCTTAAGCCGATGATGATTTTCAATTGGATCAATAGCAATACACATTTGACGATGTACGATATACCCCATATTTATTGGAATTCGTAGAAAACATCCCTATTTGAGACCTTGTGTGGAATACAACCTTTGATGTGCGAAAAATCCCCCTCTATGAAATTTGAAGTGCGATTCACCCCCTTACCGTATAATTTCATTAGTTTAGCCATTAAAAGTATCAAAAATTGACAAAATTGAAATGGAATTATTGCAATTGTGATCCCAATTTTTTTATAATTTTTACAAATTATATTCAAATTTTTTATGTGTCAACTGCAATTCCAAACCTATAAAATTTTATTTTCTTCCACAATTTTAAAGGATAAAATGATAATTTTATATTATTCCATAACAAATAATTAAAATAAAAACCAAAAATAAAATACAAAAATCCCCACCCACCCCCAAATTTAGGGCTGGGCAAATCTCTCGAACCGAACCGATCGAACCGAACCCGACGGTTCTTGTCAAATTAAATACCCGAATGGATATCTGAATTGAGAATCGACGGGTACGGTTCGGTTCTCGGTTCTAGACCAAGAATCGAAGAACCGAATATTTCTAATTTTTTTTATATTGAGTAAATCAAATTATTTTAATTTTAATTTTTTCTAAACAAATTAACAATTTCTAAATCCAAATTTTTGGCCCAATAACTTGTTTCATTTCTAATTTTTTTAATTTTTGGCCCCATTACCCATTTTATTGTTTCATTTCTTAGCCCAACAAGATCCAATCCACTAAATAACTCTAAACACCTACACTAAAGTATATAACGTTGTCTCGACTCTTGCACTCACTCTCGTAGCCTCGCTCATATTTCAAAACCTATACAATCGTCAGCCGATGCTGTGACCTCCGATCGAAGTTGCGACCTCCTCCGACCGAAGCTTTGACTTTAGCGATCATTTGAACAAGGTAGTCTACTAGTCTATGGCATTCCAAAACCATTGAATATATCATTGTATTTATATAATGTGGTTATAAATGTTAAAAAATTTAATTATAGTACAGAACCGAACGAAACGGAACTGAACCGAACGGAACCGAACCCGAACGGTTCCATAATTATATTTGGACCCGACGGTTCCATTTACTAGACACCCGAAAATTTTGGTTCGATTCGGTTCTAAAGAGAACCGAACTGACCCGACCCGCGCCCACCCCTACGCAAATTTCACATCGCTAGGATTTGAATCTCACATCAATTCCCAAAACCAAATTTCACCAAATTTTTTTTCCTCTTCATTTCTCCATATCAGCCCTTGATTTTCTTTCTCTCACATCCACACAGTAGCAGAAAAAATAGCAAATTAAAAAAATGAGAAAAGCAAAAGCTCAAGTTGAGAATCCATGATGATAATTAATTTTGGTTCTTGATCGGGTGATAGATACAAAGGTGGGTTGTGGTGGTGGCATTGTTGGCGGAGGAGTCGTAGGTGACGTTAAGCACATAATGAAATCTTCTTTCTCTTCAGTTTGGCCTTTTTCTGCCCTTTCCGTTTAGGGTTTAGTGAGAAAAAAAAATTGGCATATTTTGTTGGTGAATTTTTATTTTGTTCTCTGTTCAATAAAAACAAGGAATTTAGGGCAAAATTGAGGGCTGCAATTAGAAATACAGTTGCATTGGTTTAGTACTTAGTTATCATGTTTATACATCAAGTATGTAGTTTCAAATTAATTAGAATGTGTATTCTAATTAGTTACCAGGAAAGGGGAAAAGAATTGATAAATTTTCTTTGTGAAAATAGAGAAGTTGGTATTATGTTTCTTCCAAGAAACCATTGGTTTCTCTGTATGTTCTGTTTATCGTTTCGATGGCTATCAATGAATGTACAATTGTCTTTTGGGAAGCAAATAAAATTTTAAAGGTTTGGAATTGTGGTTTGGTACATATAATGATTATTATTTTTTTTTTTGTATAATTTGAAATAAATGTAAAAAGTTTGGGATCACAACTACAATTATTAATTTTCAATTTTGCCAATTTCTACTGTTTTCAATGGATGACTAACGGAACTAGACGGTTGGAGGTGAATCGTACTTCAAAGTTCATACATTTTCTGCTCCTAAAATGTTGTATCCCTTGCAATTTTTAATAGATAGGGGATATATTGCACATCGTGAAGTATGTAGAACATTTTTTTGTTATTAATCCGTTTTCAATTCTCCGCTTCAACACTGACTTATAGATTTAGTTCTTCTCTCCTTATTATTCCCAGTTGCATTCAAAACTCTTCAAATTTTGAAGCAAGAGCCATTTCGTTAAGACATCTATATTATTAAAATGTATACCATTTTTTTAAGTCATTTTTATATCATTGGCCCACTTGAATTCGACCTTTCCTAATTTTGGTTTACATGAATTTTAAGAATATATATGTTCGACTTCTAGAAAGAAAAACATTTACAAACAAAACATATAATCTCCACAGACTTAAGATGTCTAGGGAATTCAAATTGTGGACTAAGAAAATTTGAAGTGAATTTGGTTGCATATTATATAACTTTATAGACAAAATATATAATCTCCACAAATCACCGAATCATCATATAATACATAGAGAACAAATTGCATTATGCCGTTAAATTTAAAACTGTTGTTAAGAAAGGAGTTGAAATTTGATATTCTTCAATGTTGTTACAACTTCTTTCATGTTCACCCTCTCACTGGCACTCTCCATGGAGCAATTTAAAGCAAGTTCCATTACAGATGACAAACATCTCAACTTCATTGTGTTGTGCTCTTTTGGCCCCCAACAACTTTGAATCTATAATCCAAGTAATTGCATAAGGCATAGAATCATTTATCCAGCTCCTTAGGTTTAAATCTCCTGAGAACTTTTCATCGCTTGGTTTCATTCGTGTAAATACTTCCATTAACATAATGCCAAAGCTATAAATATCACATCTTATTGACACCGATCCTTCCAATCCATACTCTACATAAAACGTTAGAAAATTCATTAGTCGTATTACGTTGTCGTTACATTGTATTAGAAATATATATAAGTTTCATTATGCGTGGTTGTATATTGTAATCTATGATACATCTAAAATTTTATAAAGCATTACTATGTTTTGTTTTTGCTGACAATGAATACAAATATTAACATTCTAAACCACCCTTATCCAGTCTAATATGGTGGACAGAACATATCCTAAATGCCCAAGAGAAAAGATTGGAGTAAAAGAAAGGAGCTTTACCTGGTGCAATATAACCCAATGTTCCCAGGGTTGTAGTGTATGCATTGCTTTCTCCTTCACCTAATAACTTATCAATTCCAAAATCACTCAAGTGGGCAACCAAATCTTCATCTAGCAAAACATTACTTAGCTTCAAATCACAGTGAACAATAGGCGTTGAGTAGCCATAGTGCAGATATTCGAACACATATACTAGGTCTGTCATTATGTTAATTCTCTGCAAAATATCCAACACATAGTCATCTGAATACAACCACTGCCCAAGGCTTCCATTAGACATGTACTCAAGAACCAAGGCCTTGAAATCTGGATTGGAACAAGTACTAATGACTTTGCACAAATCCCTATGGCGAAGGCTGCGTAGTACTTCACATTCTACATCAAAACTCTTGAATGCATTTTGTTGTTGCAAATTGAACACCTTCACTGCCACATCCCTTCCATTATTAAGAGTCCCTCTATAGACAGAGCCTAAACTCCCGGTCCCAAGCAAATGGCTCTAACTATACCCTTCAGTTGCTTGCAGAATTTCATAATATGAGACCCTTAAAGTTGTTACAGGTGCAAAGTCTACTCCATTTTCCACCAAATATTTTCTTTGGCATCTTCCGATTGCATATATTGCCAAGGCTGTGATGATTAAAATTAGTAATGTAATCCCCAACAAAGAAACTACAGCTGCAATTATCGGTTTTCTTCTCTTTTGTCTACTAGTAGGACATGATCTAAGACCATATACAGGATCACCACATAATCCCTCATTAGACATGAAGGATTTACTTGAACAGTTTCTGAAAGGACGACAAGAAGGAACTTCACCATGTAAATCATTGAAAGAAATGTCCAAGTATGTGAGATACTTAAGTGCCTCCAAGGACTTGGGGATATTACCAGAAAGATTGTTGTGAGATAGATCAAGTTGCTCCAAGCTCAGCATCTTACCCAAGGACTATGTAATAGATCCTTGCAATGTGTTATGTGCTAAGGTAAGATTGCTCAAGGTCTGTAAATCTCCAATTGTGCTTGGGATACTACCCAAGAATCGATTGACTGATATATTAATAAAAATTGCAACCTTCAGGTTCCCAATTTCTTGAGGCAGAGAACCACTCAAAACATTTGAAGATAGACTCAACACCAGAAGATCTTTTTGAAGCCATATGCTTGCAGGTATGCTGGAAGTCAATCTGTTGGCATTGATACATAGATACCTTAGTGCAGTAATATTCCCTACGCACCCTGCAATAGCGGCTGTTATTAGATTTTGGGACAAGACCAATGCATTTAAATTTTGAAGCTCACAGTGAGAGCCCGGGATAGATCCACTTATTATAGTCTGTGTAAGAGATAATCCTTGAAGCTTTTGCAAATTCACCACACTTGCTGGAATTGATCCTGTTAACTCATTGCCATACAAACTTAATTTTATCAAACTGGTGAGATTACCAATTTCATTTGGAATGCTACCTTTGAGATCACAATTATAACCATAAAGATATTGAAGAGAAGTGGACAAATTTCCAATTGATAATGGAAGAATGTCATTCAAAGGATTGTTGCCAAAATCCAAATATGTTAAATATCTACAGTTTGACAATGAAGTGATGAAGCTCAATTCCGGAGATTCACTAATGAAATTGTTCTCTGTCAAGTCTAAAATTTCAATGAAGCGCAAGTTCCCGAGGAAGTTTGTAATTGGTCCATTAAAGTTGTTGTAAGCCAGGATTAACGTAGTGAGTTTAGAAGAATTTTAAATCAAATGTGGATGAAGGTTGCCTGAAAGTTGATTAATTGAAACTGAAATCAGTAATAATGTCGAGATGTTGAAGATTCTTGGGGGCATGAAACCATTTAAGTTATTATTGTTCAAATGAAGATGCTCCAAGTGGAAGAGATTACCAATCTCTCGTGGGATTATGTCTAAAAATTATAAAGTGCTCAAACTTTAAAAAAGAATTATGAAGTGCTCAAACTTTAAAAGACAATATGAAGTGCTCAAACTTTAAAAGAAACGGCATTCTTTAAATTTCTGTATAGAAATACAAATGGCAAATGTAAAACAATTTTTAATCTAATCAAGGCCATGTTTGGGAAAAAAGATGTTTTGAATAATAATTTCTAAAGGATGTATGGTTAAAAAAGGGGGGAAATTTTGGGTTTAAGTATAGAATATTTTATTGTTTGAATGTGTGGTAAAAAATGAGTAAGTAAAAAAGGAATTTTCAAATAATAGCCATCAAACAGGGGCTAAAAGTTACCAGATAGGTTGCAACATTGAATCACAATATTGCAATGATGAAATTTTGAAGATACTGGCTGGTATAGAGCCATTAAGAAAATTAGATCCCATGCTCAAATCCTTGAGGTTATCCAGATTACCCAACTCACATGGAATTGCACCTGTCAATTATTAAATCAGAACGAGAGAATAAAATTACCAAAATGTTGATCTGAATAACATCAATAATTCTGTGAATGAAAATCTTTTCAAAAAAAAAAAAATTATTACCAAAAAATATTATTTAATAACATCAATCATGATTCATTTACCCGACAAATCATTTGAAGCAAGATATAAAATCTGAAGCGTCCTTATTCTCCCAATTTCTCCGGGAATGGATCCACTAAATTTGTTGTAAGACAAAGAAAGTTCCTGAAGTTGTAAACATTCCGATAGATTGGAAGGAATTTCACCACCCAATTCATTTTCAGATAGATAAAGCCCTAGGAGTCTTGGGAAGCCACGGCACATGTGAAGAGGGAGATTACCAGTTAAATTATTCCTTGTAAAAGCAAGAATTTCCATTGTTTGGGCTCCATTTTATTCAAAATGAATTTTCTCTCTTCTTTTCAACCACACACTCTTCAATAAAATAATATTACACATAAATCTAAAACTTTTCATTTTTTTAACCACATTCTTCAAAAATCACTATTCCAAATTTCAATTTTTTCTGCAAAAATTAACTTTAATGGAGCAAAAATGAACATGTCTTTCAATAGCCATTCCACTGAAAGAACAATTTTGTCTAACTTTCTATTCTACCGAAAAGAGGAAAAAAGTGTAGAGCAAAATAAAGATTGAGAATCAAACATAAATAATTAATATGCTACAATTTAAAATAGTCATGAATTTGTTAATTTTCCACACAACGTTGATTTAATTAATTAACCTGTAGAAGTGGAAAAGTGGTTCATTTACTTTCTTCATGTAATTAAACAATTATCTTTCTCCGTATAATATTTCTATTCAAATAGCCAAAATGAATCGAAGTGGAATGTCTTTTCTATTAACATATTTTTGAAAATAATGAGACCTTTAATACAACTTCAACAACCCACTTTATATTTGCTGCCACCAATATACTTGATTGCTCCACCATATTATAAACGCACATCAATTATACATAGGTGGTGACGTGACTTGAACACCTACTATAATATCATGTTAGCCATTTCATCTAAAAGTTAACTTATTAGAGATGGGCTCATTTTTATTTCTTTTAATCTATATTTGCCTTCAACTATCCAAACACAAACAGAAGTAGTTAACCTTCCCTTTTTCTCTTGCTTCCCCAAGATATCAAAGTCAACTAATAATCAGGTTCATATTTCTTTTAAACTTACTTTTTTTTTTTCAATTTTGTTTTGAACCACACAATCTCTCGATAAAATAAGGCATAATTACAGCAATGGCCTCGAACTTTTTGAAGCTTTGTAGGTTTTACTCTAACATTTCATTTATTGCACCTGTGATCCTAAATCTTTCAAGTATATGATTAACAAAGTACCACGTGTTAAAACAGACTAATAAAGAGAGGATTCAAATCATAGTGCGTGTTGTAATCGATTTTACAAATGCTTCGTAATTGTTCATTAGTTTAGTTAGATAATTAGTTATAAAAACACAATTCACAAGTTTACTATTTGATTAGAGTTAATATTAACTATAACTAGATTAAGTAGTGAGCACATTGTCCTTGTGTAAATAATATCTTATTCCCAATTCTATTACTTGGATATGATATCTTACACTTGCGAAATTTTGTCAATCAACATAACTGATTTCATTTCTGTGATAATGAGCTCTTGCGTCATTTGTTGTCGCGTATCGAACTGAAATTTTGTGTACCTCAAGTTTCTTCGGTCCAATTAGATATTAAATGTCATTCCCTCAAACGAACAATAAGAGAGGATAGTTAAAACTTAAAAGGAATTACTAATGCTGCATATCTATATTTGTCTATTTTGCGCATGTCTTTCCATTTATTTTGTTCTTTCAGAAAGTTGAAAAACTATCTACCCTCTCATCAAACCACCATGGTGGTATAATATTTATTAATACAAAAATAATAATTAAACAGTGCAAACTTTATAGGAAGCGTATAACCTGACCTCCATTGGATGAAATATAGTTAAAATTAAAGACCTAACCAATCGAAAAGGCTAGGAGCTAAGGAGTTCAAAATGATCAACTTATATCTTATGAGAATTTTTTATGCTTCATGTCACCATATGCCTAACAATAGACTTAGGGAGACTCTACAATTAATATTGAAAGAATCCAGGACGGTCTAATACTACTTCAAATTTTAGAGTTACTAAGTTTACGTTCTAGATTACCAATTTGTTTGATCTTACATACGGAATTCCACTAACCAAAGCAACACGTCACTTTAATTAGTTTCTAGATGGTTAAACATACAGTTCAATTTAATCCTATGTTTAAATGCCCCAGTTATAATATTGTAAAAACTAATAAATAATACAAGATATGATGACGAAGAAACTCTAACATGGGTAAAACTCCGGGACCACGCCAGTTACCTCCACTATAGACAATTCAAAGCATGCAATGACAAGCCTATACTTGTACCCATTAAGACCCGCTACCAAAGCCTTACGATCAACTGTTGTAGACACCTCTAACGCTAGAACTCCTGATGTACCTCATGTAGCCTCTTGCTGCCGTAGATTCCTCTAGCCTCCTGCTAAATCTCCAAGTCTACCTCCTGTTGCCCAATCTACTGTCTCCTACAGCTTCTTGATCTATACTAAATGTTTCTCCAAAGTCGACCACCAAGAACCGCCTGTTCTTGTGCTTATAATTGCACTTCAATCCACCTCTCTCAATCTCCCAATGAGAGAGTCTCATCCTAAACTGATTCAAGGGAGCACAATGTTTTGTCTTCAAGACCCTTGAAGTTTTTTCCAAAGATAGGTTGCCAGATAACAAGAATTAAGTCAATGAATTCTCCAGTTAATTTCAACTTGGATCACTTCAAGAATCTTGTAGATGTTATGGAGATGAAAGCTCAATGTTGCAACCTCTATTTTCCCACATCCAAGACTTTGCTATTTATACTTGGGGGTAAATAAGTGTCTTGGGCTGTTTAAAACTCTTCAAAATGCGACCTAGGATTTGGCTGGGTAACACTGTCATTCGAGCGATAACTCAGCGAAAAGCGAGCGACAAGGTTCTATGTTATTTTCGTTCGAGTGATGGCAGGGCGAGAAGCTAGCAAAATTTCGGTGTCGCATTCTCGATTTCAACCTCAAGCTCGAACCCTAATCCATCCCAACTGACTTTACAAAATTGCATTCTAAGTCCTTGACTTTGACAACAATGTTCAATTAAGTCCATGAATTTTACAAACATACAATTAAGCCCTTTTTGTCCACAGAATTGCCAATACACTTTCTGTAATGCCCCGCAAAAAAAAAAAAAAAAAAAAA